CATTGCCCCCAAAGCTGCTTTGGGTTGGTATTTTGTCACAGAAACCAAAAAAACAAACTAGAGCACCCTCTCAGGGAATCACTCCACTTGTACCCAGAGCGTCTTATAGCTAGGCAAGGGTAGGGGAAATGAAATGGGCCGGGGGTGGGGGGGGGGAGGTAACAGTTCCGGGAAATGATGGTGGAGACAGAGTCAAGTTCACTGCCAATGGCTTCTTCCGGAGGGCTAGCAGTATTGTAGTGACGGTAAGTTCAATTGGTACAAGAAGAAAAGTTGGTTCCAGGCTTAGGACCACGTGATCTCGTTACCATAGTATTTTATATACTATAAGAAAGCATTATACTGTTAGGTTTCAAACCCGGGACAAATGGCCAAGGTGCCTATTTAATATATCAAAGCAGACCTGGCTCCCAGCTTCCCCTAGCATCCCTCAGTCCCTACCTGCTAAAGGGCCCTCCTGGCTGGCATACCCCGCCCCCTACCCTAAATTCTCCAGCCCGGAGGCTGGGCTGCCTTTCCCTAAACGCCCTTCCCTATAGAATTCAGCCATTTTGCTCACCAGTTCTCTCTTTTGGGCCTCCTGGCTGCTGCACCTGGTTCCTCTGATCACCCCCTCCCTCCCTCTCCCCCATCTCCTCACATGGCTCAGGATTGTGTCTATTCTGGACTCTCCTAGATGTCTCTGCCTCTACCTGTGTTCTCCCTTTTATCTACAGTAAACTTTCTCCCCCACCATACCTAGGAGCAGTCACGTCCTTTTCTTTTTGTTTCTTTTTTCCTTCCCTCCTTTTTTCTTTCTTTCTTTTTCTTTCTTTCGTTCTTTCTTTTTCTTTCCTTCTTTTTTCTTTCCTTCTTTTTTCTTTCTTTCTTTCTTTCTTTCTTTCTTCCTTTCTTTCTTTCTTTCTCTCTCTCTCTCTTTCTTTCTTTCTCTTTTTCTTTCCTTCTCTCTTTTTTTTCCACTCAGGCCTGACTGCCTGTTTCCCCATTATCTCCAATCTTGTTGGCTCCTTAATACTGGCACGAAACCCCCACACTTCAGTCATTATATTCTCCTTTACTTAAAACCCATTTTCCAATCTTGGCCAAAGTTAACCATTATGCAGTCTGGCCTCTTAGTCTCTATATCTACTGTGGATTCACTGTGTTTCAAGTTCCTATTCAGCCTAGTCAGATGTGCCCCAGAGGCCATCCATGATGACCTCACGTTTCAGGGCAATGTTAGAATTCTTCCTTTCTGTCTTGTCTGAAAAGTACAGCCTTCTGTGGCAACTGATTCTCTACCATTTCTTCTAACCAGCCATAGCCCAATGCTTCAACCAAGAGCTTAGCATTTCTTCTAAAGGAGAAGGTACTGGTCTGTTTTCCTGGAGGGCATCCTCATGACCATTCCTGCCTGTCCTTCAGTCTACGCCAGGGGTACATGTACAGTGTCTCCTAACTCTCAAGTCCAAACAAACTCCAATTCCCCAGACTCCAAAAGGCAGTCCAAATATCTGGAAATAGACTCAACCTGGACTACAGAAGGATTTCTGGTAGTTAGATAAAAGCGAGCATTCCTCGGGAACTTGTGGAACTGGTTCCCCTCTACCTGAAGGAGTCTTTCCCCTTATCTCTGGCAGAAGGGACCCATGGTTACCTGTGGCACCAGGCTCCTTCAGTATCACAAGTACCTGTTATACATTTCAAAGTGCTTTAGCCCTTCCCATCCCCTCCCCTCCCCTAAGCTCCCTCCTGCTCACAGCTTCCCTCCCGCCAGCTACTCATTCTCCCTATGACCCCCCCCCGCCCCCCGCTGTTCTTGCTACATTCCACCCCCTCCACTCCAGCTCTGCTCTACTCCGCTTCTCTATGCTTTCCCTATCCTCTGCCCCCTGCTGGGCCCCCCTCTCCCAGATAGCCCTGGCCATGTCCCTTCTGCTGACCACATTCACTCCTTTCTCTCTTTGCTCTGGACTCTTGCCAATGCCTCTGGCTGTTCTCTCTCTCTCTCCTATGTACAACAAAAAAACTTCCCCTTAACCAAACGGTGCAGTGGCCATCTTATCTTATCAGTGTATCTACTTTCCTTTATCTTTGCCCATAAATTATTTTCCAGCCCTTCGAGGAGGTTTTGCTGGCCGCTGGCCGTGGCACCTTGCTAGCTGGCCCGGCTACCTCCTTGTTCTCTTAGTCAGGAGTCCAGTGCTACAGCAGGTGAGCCTAGAGTCTGAATACACAGGGCGGGGCTCGGCATTGGGTTGTTTGTTAAATATCTCCTAATGGTTTCAACACACCACTCAGGAACCACTGCTCTAACCAGCCCTGCCCTTAGTGCTGTGTGAGGAAATGTCTCAAATAGCGGTCACATTGTGTTTATCATGAAGGGTGTTAAGTCAGTTTCCAGAGCCTGGCATTGCCGGTCTCTCAGCTCTGCTCCAGCCCCCGCCTCTCGCTACCTCCTCTTGTGAGTCCTCTCCACCTCCTCCTCTCCTGCAAACCGATTTCCTTGTGAGTCTGTTAGGTATTTGCTGTTCTCCCTGACATACACAGAGAACAGATATCTTATCAAAGAACTCTTACGGTATTTTCATAGATGTGAGGAGCAATTTTCCACAGAGACCCTGGAAATTGGAAGTCTTTGATTTTAGACACATCCTGATAGGATATGTAAAACGTAGCCAGTCTCCTGCCCCAAAGCCAGAATACCTTCTCATTCATTAGCCAACTATGTTTTCTTTAGAGAGACTCTCTGGTAAGGATTTATTGTAAGGAACCTAAGGACCACCTGAAAGACCACCTCCTAACGTTAGCCCTTGGCCTGAGCAGCACAGGTCTTGGCTGTGCCCTGGAGAGTGGGCTGGCTCTTTCCCAACCAGTGATCGATGTGTTGCGACACTATTTGTCCAGTGAGGCTGAACTGAGATTCTTGCCCTTTGGGTCAGCCAGGACCTGATTCGAATTGAAGTTCCTTCCTCCTCCTTTACCAGAAGAGACATTTAAAACCCTCACCCGAACGAAAGAAAATTAAAACAGAAACGCAGAATCATACTGAAAGAGCTGGGATATAAGTGTGTGACTGGGTGGGACGGGGAATTTTTCTTTTCTGTGTGAGCTGGTCAGGGGATTTCTTTTAAGGGGTCTCCATCCTCCAAACCACAACATAGATCCTTGCTAGCAAATGGAAGGAGAACTTGATGTTGCTATTTTGTCTTATCTGGTCCCAATATTTATAAAGAGGAAAGCGATGGAAACCTCTGACCTGATGTTTCCCCAAATGCAGTGTTATCTTTCCAAACCCAGGCCACATGATTAGTGATGCCAAAGGCGTGTCTCATTAGTCCTTCCTCTCCCATGAACTTGGAAGGATGGGAATATTCCAGAATGAAGCCAGGCACACACAATGGAGTATGTTATGTGGCCCTTTGGTTGGTTGAACTTTTGGTTTTGTTTCTGTTTTGAGACAGGGTCACAGGGTGTAGCTTTGTAGTCCAGACTGGCCTGGAACTTGTGATCTTCCTGCTTTCCAAATACAGAGGGAGGGAGAGAGAGAGAGACAGACAGACAGACAGACAGACAGACAGACAGAAAGACAGACAGACTTACTATGAGAGCTATAGTGGCTGGTGGCTCAGAGCCTTTTTAGGAAGCAACCTTCAGAGCCCCTCCCTCAGGAAATCCCCTGAGTACTCTCAAATTAATTCCCAGAACAAAGAAGAAATCCAACTTTTAATAACCTGATGGAGCATCAGGAAGTCATGTCAGGTGCTTTAGTTTAGCATGGCCTGTGTGACAAGGAGCCTGGAGGAACTAAGAACCAGAAATGGAAAATTATCGCATTCGGAGTACAGACGGGTTTTTAACCCTGCTCCAGAGAGAGCTGCAGGAAGACATGGCTTGATTCAGCCTGTGAGATCTGGCCCAAAAGGTACAGGCCTCTGTTCGACTGAATTCCCCTGGCCAGCTTGCAGATGTGGGACAGATGTCACAGCTGACAGTTTTCTGTAGAGAACATTAAAAGATCAAGTGTGGAAGCTCATCCATGATCCCAGCCTGGAGGAAGCCGAGGCAAGTGGCCAGCCTGGGCTACATAGCAATACACTGTTTCAAATCAGAGCAAAGGCAAGTCTCACTGCAATAGACATTTGAGCTCCTGGTAGTTTTAATCGTAAGGAAGAGAGGAACTAGGTGGAGGCAGGATGTTGGTGCTGATTAGCAATTACAATGCTGGCCATATCGGATCCCTAGACTTTTAACTGAGCAGCCTTTCTGCGTATTTACGGTCAAGTTTTAAAAGATGCCAAGAGTGTTGGCTTTGACCCTAGCACTTCGCCTGGGCACATCTTCCAAGCTCAGGACTTCGTTTAATGCCAGCAGGCCTGATACAGACTGCCCGGGAAACAGGATCGGGTGCAGTAGCACTGAGAGCTGGGACGCCTTGTTTTCCAGAGTTCCTTCCTCATCTCAGAAATTCCCGATACCATCTAATCTTTTGATCAGCTCTGAAAACACCGAAGGGGAGGTCCCCCATTGTCTCTGCCGCCACCCCCAAGTAAGATAAACTTATTTGTACCAACTCAGAGCACATTGTGTCTGTTTAGGAGTCTCTCGGCTGGGATGCATGGCAAACTTGTCTCCAAAAGCAGAGTGTATTTACGGTGGGGCAGTTCCGTTATTCTGTGTTACACCTTGTGGTAGAATGCATGTCCGCAGCACTTTGCTGTTGGTACAGGGCCCTACTTGTCCTTATATCATGTCTCTGTCGCTCCTCTTCTCCTGACAGCCATTCTGCTTCTGATTAACTCACTACCACATGTTTAAGGAATCAGCAGAGAAACATTGCTGAGGTTTGTGCTCTTCCCTGCAGCAGCTGCCCCTGCTGTCCCCTGAGAATCACAGGGCTGCATCTCCAGCCTCTTCCTCTGGCTGGTGACTTTGTGTTATACCGACCCTTACAATAACCCCCATAACGTAAACTCAAACAACCAAGATACTTGTGCCGGCCGGGACAAGACAATCCTTACCAGAGGATTCTGAAGAAGAAAGCCATACTCCTCAGAAATGTGATACTGTCCCAAAGACAAGGATGCCGCTGCCGGCTTCAAACTCGGCCTTTGAGGCTCCATATTTTTGCCTGAGGTATCTGTACTGAAGAAAATGACTTCGTAGAAAAAGTGCCCAGGTTCAGGGAGCTGCTTCCCGGCTGTGGCCTTTGAGGGAGTTCAGTGGTGTGGTGCTTCGGCAGCAGTCAAGAACCTTGCCCAGAGGTTGAATTCCAGGACGGCCACTAATCTGTTCTGAGACAAAGCCAGGTAAACAGCGAAGATTGGAATTAAAACAACACATCAGCAAGCAAACTGGCTCCAAGAGCTTTCCCCTTTTCCCTTCTTATTCATAGACTATGAGGAAGTTCCTTTTAAACCCAGGGACAAAGAACTGAACTCTGGGAAGGGCCGAGATGAACTTGACTCTCTGTTGTGGTTGACCAGATCTACACCCAACACCCGAGAGTTTGGTTCCTGAGGAATTCTGACAACTTACCAAAATTGCTAAACGAGGAGTCAGTAGATTTATTTATTTATTATGTATACAGTGTTCTGCCTGCATATGCCCCTGCACGCCAGAAGAGGGCACCAGATCTCATTACAGATGGTTGTGAGCCACCATGTGGTTGCTGGGAATTGAACTCAGGACCTCTGGAAGAGCAGCCAGTGCTCTTAACCACTGAGCCATCTCGCCAGCCCAAGGAGTCAGTCCTACTGGCCTTTTATCATTACTTATATTTATTTGCAAGTACTACATTTTTTCTTTTTAAACATGTATGCTTTTATTGAAGTTAAAACATAATCATATCATTCCCCCCTTCCTTTCCCCCTTCCAACCCCTCCCATGTTCCTCCCTTGCTTCCTCTCACATTCACGGCCTCCTTTTCTTTGTTGTCGTTACATACATATTCATAAATACACAAATCAAACCTTCTCAGTCTGTTTAGGGTTACTTGTATGTATTAAGATTTCAGGGCTGACCACTTGGGTTGTACGCAAGGCAGTTAGAGTAAAGACATCGCTAACATGACCGCTCCTTGAGAGTTCGTTTGCTTTGTAGATATGAGAGAGAGAAAATATCCAGATCAGAGAGAGAAAGAAGTAGACTGACCGCGGTCAGCAGACTGGACATGGACAGGGCCATCTGGGAGCGGAGTGGAGACCAGCAGGGGACAGAGAATAGAGAAAGAGCACAGTGAGAATGTCAGGAGCAGAGAAGAGTGAGAACAGCCACATTACAGGAAGGCCGAGCAGCTGTGGGGTGGGAGCCTGTGAGCTGGAGGGAGTTTAGGGTAGAGGAGGGGGTGAGAGGGGCTAGGATGCGGGCGTGGACTCTGAGAGGCTGAGGGAGCCTGGAGGCCAGCACGGGCTTTGATATGCAGTCACAGATATGTATCAATGGAGCCATATGTCCCTCCTGACAGAGGTAAGGGGAATGACTCCTTTGGGGAGAGGGAACCCATTTCACGAGTTCCTGAGGAATGCTGGCTTTTATCGAACCTCCAGAAATCCTCCTATAGTCCAGGTTGAACTCATTTTGGGAATATTTGGACTGCCTATTGGAGTTTGGGGAACTGGAGTTTCCTTTGGACCGGAAAACACTGGATAACCAATTAGGGGAGACCATTTCTCCTGTTCCAGAGTAAACTCTTTTTTTTTTTTAAATGAAGTTTCTTTTTCTTTCTTTCCTTCTTTCTTTCTTTCTTTCTTTCTTTCTTTCTTTCTTTCTTTCTTTCTTTCTTTCTTTCTTTCTTTCTTTCTTTCTTTCTTTCTTTTTTCCAGCCACAGGTTCCTATAGAATGTGGCTCTGAGCGGAAGGTTAAAGGCCACCATGTCAATGTCATCTCCCCATGTCTGGAAACAATGCTTGCTTGCTTGCTGCAGACGCTTTCTGTTTGTGTCACTGACGGAAAATGAGAACACGCCCCCTCCAAGGGATGGCTGAGGAGAACGTTTTATTGTAGATATGAGGGAGAGAACAGCCAGAGGCATCTGGAAGGGTCCAGACTGATCCAGGCCATTGGGGGTGAGGGGAGGCCAAGACAGGAGCCTAGGACCACGAGGACCAAAATCACTTGGCCCAAATGGCAGGTTTTTATAGGAATCAGTAGCTGGGGGAAGGAAAGGCCCTGGGCTGGAGAGGTTCAGGGTGGGGGGCAGAGTGGGGTGAGAGGAGCCAGGATACTCTGTAACAGGTACTTGAAAATTTGTATATACTAATAGGTACCTCGATTAACATATTTGCATCTGCTAATAGTCACCACAATTAGCCACTTGTCCTGAGTTTCTTTGGGACCTAACTGTCACTTTTTTTTTTTTGGTCCTTAAAAGCTGGGAGAACTTATGACTGGTGATCAGGGGCTGCTTCCCGCTAATCTGCTTCATTCAATTTATTTAACTTATTCAGGCCTCCTGGGAGTTTTTCTCTTCAGGTACCCCTAACACAAGAATAGGACAAAACAAACTGCGATTCATATATTCTTAACTGTACCAGAGAGTTTGAAATAGCCTGAACAGATCACTGGATTTAATGCCCTTTTGTCTCAGGGTTTCTATTGCTGTGGTGAATTACCATGACCAAAAAGCAAGTTAGGGAGGAAAGGGTTTATTTGGCTTACACTTCCATATCATGTTCATCATCAAAGGAAGTCAGGACAGGAAGTCAAACAGGGCCAGATCCACGGAGTCAGGAACTGATGCAGAGGTCATGGAGGGGCGCTGCTGACTGGCTTGAGTCCCATGGCTTGCTCAGCCAGCTTTCTTCTAGAACCTGCCATTAAGAGCAGTGATTTTATGCCTCCTAATGAAACCTGCTATCTTATATAACTAATATAATTTAAATTTTTAACATTTGTGTGTGTGCGCGCACGGGATAGAACATGTACCTCGTGTTCACTAACAGTGGCCACCATCTCTGACCTCAGGTCCAGCTACTCAAACGAAAGAGGCCAGTTATACAGCAAATTAATAGTAAGCGAACAAAAAGGAGATGCATTCAATGTGGCCACACTGGGCCGAGGGACAATGAGCTTCAATGACTCCCCTCAAGCCCATTATTAGGGTCCTGAAGTGAGATGGGAGTTGAAATGGAAAGCTAGAGATGTGCACGTGTAAGTACTCCTGGTCAGGGCTTGGTCTGTCCACCCTTGACCCAGTGTTGTCTGGGCTTCAGTTTGGCTTGTAAGGAGGTCTGACAAAGTGTCATCATCGCTGCTTAAAATCTACTCCTGGGAGAGGAGGAACCCCTCCCATGGGCACCAGGCTTCAGCAATTTCCTTCCCCCAGCATGAGATTCCTGGGGGTGGTGGGAGATTTCTGGTTTCTCGGGATCCGTAGTTTCAGCACTCCTATAGGCTGATGACAGACACAATTGTCTCTTCAGAAAATGTTTATTTCCAGCAGGTCGGTTACAGGTCACAGGAGGACAAACTGCAAAAGTTGGCTTACTTCTACAACGTGGGTTCTGGGAACTGAACTCGTGTCCTCAAAGTTGGTAGTCAACCTTTCCATTCATGGAGCCACATCTTGACCGCTCCAGCTAGTACATTTTTAAATAAAAAAATATCGATGGGGCTGAGAGGATGGCTCAGTGGTCAGAGCCTTTCTTGCACACACGTGAGGACCCGTGTTCAGATCCCCAGAAACCCACAAAAAAATATGGGGTGTGCGCGGTGACCTACCTGGAATTCAAAGAGACAGAGGACCTCCAGAGCAAGCTGCCCGGGAAGACTAGCCATATTGGCAAGCTGTGGATTTGCTTGGGAGACTCTGCTTCCGGGACTAGAGTGGAAAAAGCCGTGAGGGATAATTCCTGACATCACTTGGGCCCCCACGCGCACGTGTGACCATTCACACACACACGGGCTGACATGCATGAACACATACACATGCATACCCTACATACAGAGAGAAAAACGGAAAAAGATGGATGATTTTACTCCCAAGGTCAGTTCTGCCGCTTCGATTTCGAAGATCAGTAAACCGAGGCATGTGTGACCTTTGACTCACCTGCTCAGGGTCAGTGAGCCGAGATGGCTACGCCTGTGGTGCCTCGACTTTCCAAACGGCCGCTCCGTTGACTGGATCAGGGAGCCAGGCCAGCTGTCATAGGTGCTTTGGCACTGAATTCCCTTTAAAGTAGAGCCTAGGATAGTGATTTCCATATCCTAGATCTGCACTGGGAATGTCTGAGGCCTGGCCTTTGCCTCAGTGGACTCTGAACTGAAATTGGAAGGCTGTCAATGAATTCATCCGGAAGCTAATCTACCAACACATAGCTTTCTTCCTCTGTTTCTCTAAAATATGGACAAAACGATAAGAGTCCTGGGTTAACTTGTGTAGTTCCCATGGAGGTTTCTCTCACGGAGGTGGTATGCCTCAAATAGCCTGACTGTACGAAGACAGACCTGGCTGCCAGGTTTTCCCAGCATCCCTCAGTCCCTATCTGTCCCGGGGTATGGCTGGCATACCCAACTCCCTACCCTAAACTTCTTCAGTCCAGAGTCTGGGCTGCCCTTCCCCCAGCTGCCCTTCCCTGTCTAATGTGGCCATTCTGGTTACCTGTCTTTTTTGTCTACCCTTTACTCTCCTGGCCCTCCCCTCTCTCCTCACATGGCCCACCCAGCTCAGGGTCATGTTCACCCTGGTCCATCCCAAATGTGCCTGCCTCTGGCTGTGCTCTGCCTCATAACTACGATAAGCCTTCTCCACCATACTTAGGAGCAGCCATGTCCTTCTTTTTTTTTTTTTTTTAATTTCTTTTCCATTCACCATCATTTTACAATTCTAGCCACGTTGTTCTCATCCAGCTCCCCTTGTGCCCTCTCAAGAACTGTCTTAAACATTATAAAGCCATCTAATCATAAACCACAAGAACTGAAAGGGACAGCATAAAATAGACGACCAAATTAAAAAGTGTCATACGAGTAACCCAAGATTTATAGAGCGAAATGATTCGTCACACGGTGTCTAGGGAGCTGGTATCAGCACTCACCCCAGGTTCCTGGCTGGGGACCTGCCCACTGTAAACTCAGGCAGGGAGAGATCTGTCCTGTTGCCTGTGTGGCCTTTGGATGGGAGAATTAAAATTCCAAACCTCTGTTTTCACATCTCCAGGAATAGCAACGTTTATGCCAGAGACAGCGTGCAGAGCACGTGAGAAATCTCGAGAGGAACAGTGGTGTGAGACATCCGGTACCACTATCCTCGTAGTCTCTCTCCGGCTGTGTTTCTGATTTCTTTCCCACCACGCCAGCTGCAACAACTTCCTGACGCCATGCACACCGTGTCTGGATACCCAGTTGCTCCTGGCACTCTTGGGCCATCCCTTGGTA